CCTCATAATAAAGAGACTTCGCTGATAAAAGCATCACTTTATTTTATTTATTTAAAGAAGCCCCCGAATATGCCCCTGAATATCAGCCGACCTTCTAGGATACGCTGGAAGGGTCACCCTTTATAAATATGGTGTAAAAAAAAACCCAAAACAAAACGATTAAATATATCAGCCACTTTCTATCAAGTATTCGTACGCTAGCGCATCTCACTTTCCTGAAGTTCAGTGCCTCCCCCTCCCCCATTGAAAATGTTCGAAGCAACAAAATAACACTCAAGTGATATAAAACAATATCACCTCATAGCACCATTTTTTTGCGAGATAGCGCCCCTCACTTAATCATTGAGGGTCCTCCCCCTTCAATATCGTCATCCTCATCAATCATCATAATTTTTATAATTGTTGTTGTACCATCGCTCCCCCATCAGCCCAGACATAACGAAGTAACTTTGGTATGTTATAAGATTTGCTAAATTTTTGTATACATTTTTCAATTAAATTTTTCAAAAGAAATGCTGATTAATTTGATCCATCCAATCAGTAATTCATCTACAACAAATTACTGTATTACTGTACCTATTTTATAATCCCCATTATGCTATTATGAGTGTGATGTAATGGACTTTCCGTTAAAGCCACGTCCCTTTGATTATTAGTGGTAAGGTCGATACGAGATATTAAAAAATAACTAGAGTGCTGTAGGCGACGAAGCAATGCAGAGTTATGTTTATAATAATACCTTTACCAGTTTGTGCAGCATTCACAACTTTTATTCTAAATTTATAACTACCCTAGGTTGACCTTGAAAATAAACAGTTAATATTTGTCTGTGCAGAAGAGTCTGTTTTCCACTGTGCCGTACATCAGCAATGTATAAGATGCAGAGACCAGCCAGCTCACTCTCAGGCACTCGAGTGGTAATAAATGTACGGAAATAAATAAATAAAGTATTTGTAATTGGTTTGTAATACTTGATTTAGTTGGGCCTCAATTCTACTCCTTAAGAGTTTCTTAGTGATTAAGTTCCTTGAAGCTAGAGACAGATAAAAGCTCAGTTAATTTGTTCCTGTCAGCTGCAGTCTTATGATAAAATGATTAGTTGGAAGTAATATTGTGTTGAAGAAGGAATACGGTAGGAGCAGTTCTCCTATTTTCCTATTTTCCAGATTTTCCCACTCCAGCCCTTTTAACGTTTCACACTCTCGCACTACACTTGATAACTGTTCATAATTGTTAACAAATCTAGCTAGCTCTTCTTTGTACTTCTCAATCTGCCTGGAGAGCTGGCTTGAGTGTGGGTCCCGGATGATTGCGCATACTCGAAGAAGTATGGATGCACAAATGATTTACACGCAAGGTCTTTCAGGTTTATATCGTTGAAGTTGATATTTCGCCTTTGGAAGTTAATGTTGTTGTCTTTTGATGTAGGCCTAAGTATATCAACATGATTATTCCAGCGTAGATCTTTTGTGATATTTATTCCCACTGGGATATTTCACTTTGTCAACATTTTATGTGGATACCATTGAAAGTATAGTGATTTTAAATGTTTGCCTTCTTTCTGCTGATGGTCAATTCACATGAGATTGCATTTGCATTATATGTTTGTATAAATATAGGCATACACTCTCCATAAATATATACATTCTTCATATACACCACATACACTGGACAATTTTCTAAAGTTATTTCACATAAGATAAATTAATTAACGAAACAGTTCTGTAAAGGTTTAAGTATCAAATTAGTTTTTCCTTATTTAAAATTAGAAATAATGTTTTCTGTGAAAGGTCCTGTCCCGAGTGGTCTACGTTCTAACGTTGTGTATAAATTTACGTGCGCAGTCTATGCCTGTTATATAGGCGAAACTGGACACTTTGCAACGCGCGTTACGAATACATGACCACGACAGGATATGAACTTGCACATTTTTAAACATCTTAAAAGCTCATCCCAATGTAAAGCCTCATTCAACGAGGATTGCTTTCGTATACTGTGTTCCGCTTCAACAGCCAGCCAGAGAAAAATCAAGGAGACGTTGCATATCAAATGGGACACGCCCTCTCTCAACAAGCAACTTTTACATGTTAATTTAACTTTGTCATTCTGATGTTCATCACAACGTAGGCCCTAATCATTTTTATTCATGCCATTCTTTCTTCTTTACAATTACGGTCAAATCGATTCCTTAAAACTGGAATGTCATGATGTCTGTTTCAAACAGGTATGGCTTAATTTCCATATATTTAAAATACAATGGTTCACAGTTGTTCACCCTTTATAAAGTAGATTACATGTTAGCAATCGTTTCACTGAAGATGGCGAAGAATTTGCCGAAACATGTTGTTTTATACCGTGTTTTGATAATAAAATCCACTAGGCCTTGCCTATATGGTATTGAGTTTGAAAATTATTGTGGTATTTCTTATTTTTGGCCAATTAGTGCACCCACAGCTATAAAAAAGTTTTTCTTTATTATTATTATTATGCCCGCCGCTGCCTTGAAACTGTCTCTTATACACATCTAGATGTGTATAAGAGACAGGTACTGTACCTGTAAATTAACTTGAATTGAAGTAAATCAGAGCTGGTATGAATGTAATGTGTCTTTACTAAGGCAAACTCACGTAATAAACATTAAAAACCAAATGTAAAATTATACAGAGTTTTTATTTGTGTGTATTATCAATAAATTAAACATCTTAATGAAATGTTTATATGACGTCACACACCGCCGTCACTGTCGACTACAGTATACAACTCATAACTGAACAAAATTAAGCAAGTAATAATGATAAAGTTACCGAATGTTTTGTAATACTAAAAATAGTATATCACAAATATTTTACTGTTCTACGAATAGTGAACGTATGTCTGTGGTACATTCTCAAAAAAAAAAAAAACTATCAAATTCAAATAAAAAAAAGAAAAAAAGAAAGCCTATTTAAAAGAAACATTTACTATGACAATTGACTATGACAATTGATACAGCTATTAAATATATCAAATATACAATATAAACCCTTCAAATATCAAATGCCATTGTGTAAGTTTTCTCTACCTACTCTATTATTACAAATGTATAAAAACATGAAAGACAAACTATCCAGGAAATACCCATAAAAAATAACTTACATTTATGTGGAAGCACCGAAAACAGTAGATCAACATATTTGCATATGCTTATAAATACTTATTAGTACATTTTCATATGCAAAGAGATTCATAACTATTTGTAATAAAAATATCTAATATAATATAATATCTTCCAATAGTATATAATTAATCTCTGTTACACTATATGATCTGATGACAACAGGGGTTTTTTTTTAACATTAGTATCAACAACAAAATATTAATTGCATCAATAATATAATAGCATAACATTAATTCAAAACAAAAATCAACAAAAACAAAAATTAAGGACAAATAAATTTTTATAAAAAAAAATATGCACCATCATGGGCAGATAAGACTTGAGCAATCAAGGCATTTAAAAAAATATTTCAGAGAATTATTCCAAGGTTATTGTACGGCAGCCCAGTAAATGCTTTATAAATGTTTTTATACCTTGTTTAGGGAACCCACTGCCCGCTATTTATGATTTCAAATAAAAATAAAATAATATTTTTTGCCAATTAGTGCACCCTCCGCCATCAAAACATTGAAATTTCAGAAAAAAATAAAAGTTTTTCTTTAATATTATTATGCCCGCCGCTGCCTTGAAATCTATAAAAATAAGATACAGTATGTACATTTCTTTATTATATTGACCATCCCATTACTACATTGTTTACATTCACCAATAACTTTTTATTTTTATTTTCTCCTCCGTCTGGATATTTTTGGCAAAACTATTTGCTAAATAAGAAAACAAAATTTTATTTCTATTTTTATTCCACCCTCCTCTGATGATCTTAAAAAAATTAAGTTCGCAAAACATAGCATAAAAAAAAATCCCACCTAAGCACCACTTAACATACTCTACATGGCTTGAGATTTCTTATCTTCAGGTCATTAAAACAACCAAGTACGGTTATGAGATGAACATTTAAACTCCAGGAATATGCTACATGGCAACTGGTGTGTGGCAATTACTATAGTTGTTGGCATGTGCTACATAACAGATGGTGGCATCCTTTACATGTGTGGCATATGGCATTTGCTGTATTTGTAGCAGTTGCATGGTATGCACCAAAGGGCAGTTGATGTGTAGCATCAGATTCATTTCAGTTGTAAGGTAGCACGTATTACTGTAGATAGGTAGCTACTACATTCCAGGTGTAAGGTGGTTGTGTAGCATCAGCTTGGTGGGAAGCCCCCGCAACTTTACAGGGGATGAATGGCATGCTCTAAATTGGTGGCTATGTAGCATTTGCATTACAATGGTTGTGTGGTAAGTACTGCATTACAGTGAGCATGTACATTGCACTGGTTGTATGTCATGAACACTTCATGCCACACACTGCCTCCCGGTCAGTCACTATAATGTTGAGCTCAAGGTGATTTTTTTTTTTCATTATCGTTGGCTTGAGTACTGATGGCTAAAAATATACAACTGTACAAACAAAAGGTACTGCAACATAAAACAGTAGAATATTGAACTAATCAGACCTTTTTCAAATGGCATGTTTACATGTTGCTAGGCACCCATAAGCACTTTGTCTTCACTGTTGTCCATGAAACAAGTTTGTATGGTTTCTAGTACTTTTTTAAGTCTCCGATCAAGTGCAGTTAGGAATTTTTCACTAATGATTGGCGAAATTGCATCATGGGACATGGATGAGCGCATCAATGTGCTGAGTTTACTGTTTTCTTGGGAAAGCTCCTTCAGCCTATAGTATGTTGACCGCCGGACTCTACAAAAAAAAAATAGAGATGTGATTTATGTATATATAATGTATGTTTTAAAATGTTTCCTGTTTTCAATTGACTCATCTCAACTAATTACATGGTAGTAGAACCTGGAACACCAGAAATATTGTCATCTTTGTCGGTGCTGTCACCGCTACCACCATCGACATTGTTTTGGTCCTCATTTACCATCATAAAAGTGTATGTTTTGTTGTTGAACATTAGGGGTAAATACCATCATAAAAGTGTATGTTTTGTTGTTGTTTAACATTAGGGGTAAATATATTCAGAAGGGGGTACGTACTTGCAACACTGATATACTGGAGCTAAGAATGTGATATCATCCTTATTAGGGTTTCCAAAGCCTTTTCCATTATCCAGCAAGGCGACAAAGCTTTCATTCTTGAACATACTTAGCAATGTATAGTGATGTCGATCATAATTTACTGGAGTCAAAAGAAATAATAAAAAAACATATTGAATATGTGTTTACATAAATATACTCTGTCTCTCTAATCTTAAAAAAAAAACGTCTCTAAACATTGATATGCTCATTTAAAAAGATCAAATAACTAATACATTTTTATTTATTTATTTTTAATTTTTTATTATTTTTATATTTTTTTTTCCATTTTTTTTTTTTTGCTTGTATACTATTATTGCAAACAATTGTATTCTACTTCAGCAGATATGTCTGTTCAAATGTCTGTTTTAAGTTTGACAGAACAAATTCTTCAAAAGTAAGCCTAGTTTAAAGCTACAGTAAGCTGACCTTTGGCAACAGCCAGTAACTGTACATCGCATGATTTGATGTGAGATAAATTTCCCTTGCGATCAAAAGCAATGGAACATTAAGAGTTGCTCTCAGTTGCCCATGTCCTATAAACGATTGTTCAATCTTTTGGTAATCAAAGCCAGCTGAGCATTTGGTGGCGGGGAACACATTAGACTTCAAAGGCATCGCGCAAACGTTCTTCACGCGCTGCGGCAGCTTTGTTCTTGGATCATTTGCATAGCTCTGCGTGCGTGTACTGTAGCTTTTTCAAGTGATTTCCTTCTCAATAATACCTCCATGGTATGAGATTATCTCTACATCACAGCTCTCCAAAATTATTTGTAATAATTTATATAAATACAAATAGTTTTTCTTGTATGTGAGATTCAGCTTCTATGCCTAAAACACACGACTCACCTATCAGGAAGTCGAATATTGCCACATCAATAAGGTCTAAGAAATTTCGATGTTTACCATTTTGTAACTCCTGCAATAATGAAAAATATAGCATAGGTGGCAAAGACAAGCAAAACCAGTCACTCCTTGCAAAAATCGTTTTTTTAGTTAATAATACTGGATTAAACAGTAAAATGAAAGCTAATAAATGGTATAAGAATCATTAAGTCAGACATTTTGTTATAAAGTTACAAGAGCTTAAACATACAGCTGCTTAAAAAACAATATTTAAGAATCAGCCTTCAAAGTTTATGATTTTGAGCATTTCTCGATCAGGCCGAAATCATCACCAAATAGTTTAAAATTGTTGTTTTAACATTGAAAATGAGGAAAATAACCACATAGTATGATGTATAGATATATAAAGGTTATTTTAATGCAATAAAAAAGATTTCAAAAATGTTGATATTATAGCATGTTTTGGCCACTATCTCTGAAACACGATTTGCGACACATGACTGGTTTGGCTTGTCTTTGCCACATATATAGAATGTAAATGTCATGGAGTTTAATATGGAAAAGGTAGGCCTCAGTCACCTTGGAAAGCTAGTACTCAAAGTTGCCATAATCAGTTTGGTATTAAATTTTGCTAGGTGCACACTTACCCTCTTGGGATGTGCGAGAATTCATGTATAAAAGTGTGTTGCCTAAGAACAAAACAACTGTTTTTTGTTTTTTTTTTAAATAATCAAATTGGTAAAATTAGTTGTTTATGTACAGTGAACATAGATTAGATTCCAGGCTACTCTCAGATAACTGGAAAACTCAACATGAGGAAACTTCACCCTTTACCAAATTTTGCTGATCTCTTCTTATCTCTATTAATCACTTCTTTAGGGAATTTTGTAACAAGATTAACAGTGAAGCTCATTAATTGTGAATAGTTCATAAGAAGACTAGCACAATTAAATAAAAAACCATGTTGTAACTTCTAACATAAGTCATTGATTTTTAAACTTCAAAAGCATATCTATTATGATTTTTATCTCAAATTATAACTAAGGTAATAAAAATGCCAAATTTTTTTGAACCACAGGTTTTCAAAATTTTCCAGCCTGGTTTTTAAATACTATACTGGTAATTTATTGAGAAACAGCAATTCCTGCTGTGATAATGACAGTTTCAGTTTTTATTGGCACACACTTTTACAACAGTGGCACCCACTATTCAGTGGTGCGTCCAGACTAACTAATTAAAAAAACAATACAGAAATTGAACAAAAGTAAAAAAGGAAACGCAAAAGTAAACAGAAAAATCAGGGAGTTTAACAAAATTGTAAAAGAAAGGAAAAACATCCCAGAAATACAAAATTCAAAATCAAAGTAAAAAACAAAAGTAGAGGTATCTTAAGTAGAGGTATTCTTCTTTGATGTTTAATTGGATTATTGAGATAAGATTCTAGCAAAACCTGGTTCTCCAACCTGCCTGAATGCCCTTTTAAAGGGTTTGCTGGTAAATGGGATAGTAACAGCATGACTTCAAACTGGCTGTAATTGCAATTGTTCCAAATGCCATTCTATTATTCCAAATTCCAAATTCAAGAGAGGTTCTTAGCGATTTTCCATTGTTGCTATGTAGTATGGGTTTTTAAAGACATGTTTAATGTCTTGTTTTTGATACATCTTGGAAGTTTTATAATAATGTAATAATAGTAATGAAGCATCTTAAGATTTTTTTTAAGTCTTAAATTTTATCAATGTTATGATGTCTTGCCAAGGAAAGCAATTTTTATAAAAAAATGTACTTTTTATGACAAAAAAAGAATTTTCAATATCAGTAACTGTACACTACTTTTCTACAATAAATTGTTAAATTAATACTGTACTAAGAA